TTCCTGGTCTGTATTAAGTTCCTCCTCATGTAAGGTTAGTTTATTAAAGATATTGTTATGGTGATTAGCTTTCATACGTGCCGGTTGGCCTTGGTTTTTTTGGTTGTTGTTTGATGCTTTCTCTGAGGTTGATGTAGGCCTCCAAATAGCTTTTTGTCCTATCTCCTCTTGGACTCTTTGATTTCTTCTCCTTTGAATGTGACATTACACCTCTTTTTGCTTCGTTGGTTGTTGTTGCTCTACACTTTCTTTACCTGCAATTGATCCATACCTTCTTTTTGTTTATTCTGCATTATTTTCTATTCTTTGTTATTCTGCTTTTCTTTATTTTTATTTCTCTTGTCATTTCTCCTTCTCCTTTCTTTATCTTTACTCCTCATCTCTTATCCTGGCCTTGCATTTTTCTACATCATGACCTTGATGTCTACAATATTCACAATAGGAGGAATATTCTCATATTCTACAGGATGACAAACACCTATGGTGTCATCATTATTATCAAAACCAATCCACATATGCCTATGTCTAGGTTTGGTTTGGTAAATTTGCATCTTAACCTTATTTATCTCTTCCCTTGATCTCTTGATGGATGATGTGTCCAAGTAAATCACCTTCCCTACATTCACTAGAAGAGGAATGAGGAATGGTTTCTTAAAACAGTTTTAGGGTAATCCAGGAAGAAGAATCCAAACCGGTACAATAGGATTCTCTTCTTCAGGGGTAAAGAGAGGAGTCCAAGCCTTAATCCTCATAAGTTTGCCCTCTATAATCATTCTCTGTTGATTCCAAATAGTATTGAAGTCAAGCTCATTTTCGAGACCGATAAAGACATGTTTAGCATTATAGTGTGCAATGTTGACCCCCCCCCCATTGAGCTGAGTATGTTGGATCAAAATTTTTCTAATCAGTTCAACTTTAGGCATAGTAGTGCTAAACATCCCAACAAAAGTTTGTTTGCAATCCACTTTAAGGATATGTATATAACCACGCATGTCAAATATTAGAGTTGCTTGCCCCTTTTTAGCTGTTTTTCTAGGTTTGGTTCTTAGTACTATATTAGGACTTTGGGCTTCACGGATTTTCCTCGGTCTAGTTGGTAGAGTTTGAAGTACGGTGTAAGGGGGTGATTCTGGGACCTGCTCTTTCTTAGAATTACTTTATGTTTTAGCTGTATTATTCTCATTAGGTTTGGGGAATCTAGCATTTTGGTTGTAAATAATAGTGGGGGGGGGTTGTTTGTCAAAATTACTAGAGATTTTAGGAAAATCTCTGTGATACACATTAAGATTACCACCCTTCCCACTATCAGCCTACTGGATTACCCCTCCTTTTTCATTTATATCAGCCTGATTCTCGTCTTTAACATTTACAGCAACATCTCCCATGGTATGATTGTGCACATGGCCAGCACTATTACGTTAAGTAAGGTCATTAACAACACTAGTAGTGATAGGGAGCTTACCTATTTATTGTATATCCATGTTTTCATCCATATAGTTCGGATGTTTATAATGTCTCTGATACATAAAAGCTTCTTCCCTTTCCATATCTTTCCCTTTTGATTGTGTTGTTCCATCTTTGGGATTATTTTTACCCCTCATGTTACCCCACACAAAACCATGTGAAGGAGTTTCTAAATCTATGACATTCTTTCTCACCTTCATTCATAGTTACAACATTCAGTTGGTCTCATATACTCCTCTTCTCAGTTAAAGCTTTTTTTGCTTCCTCTAATGATTTACATTGATGTAGTTTTTCTACTCCCTGAGTAAAATACGAATTTTTATACACATTCTATGATTTGGAGCTTCCAGTATCATCTCATTTATGCTATTTAAATTGTTCACCCGCGATTCTATCTTCCATGATTTGAACCTCGATCCAACTTGGAGTCGCCGTTAGATGGATAAGCTTCCCTTGCAAGAAACCCCAATAGATATTTCTCGCATGCCCGCTCGCTGGAGGGTATGATTTAGGGGTTATTTGTCACGACTTCCATCTGCACTTACCCCCAATTGCACTTCATCCTTTCCATAGATTGGTTGGTTAAAATTCCTTGATTGATTAGTTAGTTGTCGCTCTTGTAGAGTAGATTCGTTTCATTTTTTAAAAATACTTGATTCAATCTTATAGATTATGGCGAAGTATTCTCATGTTCCTCTGTTTCTCCTCGCGACTTCTCTCTGTTTTCCATATCATTGAGTTGTGAAGTAGCTGAAATATTCTTAAATACCAAGAGGGGTTCTTGTCTTACTAAGTTCTTCAACCCATATCGTCCCTACTGGGACTATTCTTGCATCCTAGACGGTACCGTTGGTGCCTCGTCTGCCTGTGCAGCTAGGCTGAACTAGCTGTTAGACTTGTAAAAATCTAAAGGTTGAAAAGAGCTTTTGGTTAAGAGAGAGATATTAGGGAGAGAACTAATTTGGATTTTTTGGTATTTGGGTTTAGGGTTTTCATATTTTAAGATAAGGGTTTTGGGTTAAGGTTAGGCTTAGTGTTTACTTGTAGGTTTTTGGTATTTCTGGGATTTGGATTTAGGGTTTAGGGTTAGGGTACGGTTTGGTTTGAGTTAACGTTAGGGTGTAGTTTATTCTTATTTTAGTTTTTGTGGTTTAGGATTTGAGGTTTGAAATCTACGATTTAGTGTTTAATGTTTGGGATTTCATATTTTTG